AATGAATTCACTTGTAATTTTATTTCATTATTGATTTTTTTTTAAAATTTTTTATGAAAAGCAAATGGCGGAGGCGGGAGACGAGATGTGGAAGAATGAATGGGTTGAATGGTGAAATCGAATGGTATTGGGTTAGAATCTTGGATGGTTTTGGGCTTCTTCACTTCTTATTTGGGCATTTCCAATGTCGGCTAGAGTGTTAAAAAAAGATTAAAAAAAAATAAAATTGGGCATTTGGGTTGGGCCAAAAGTTTGCAATCGATTTTCATGGGCCAACCCAACCCAACTCGCCTTCTTAATCCAAAACTCTAACCCACCTATAAAATGTTTCTTCTTTTGCAACGTTTAGTAAACGTTGTGATGTTACGAAAAGTTAAACCTTCTACAATGTTTGCTAAACGTTGCAAAAAGAGAAACTTTTCCCTATGTTTAGTAAACATTGTAAAAATTGTATAGCTACATATCCGCAATAGTTACTGAATGTTGCTTAGAATGAACTTTTAACAACGGCTAATAAACGTGTTGAAAAAATAAATTTTTTCACAATACTCAATAAACGTTCCAAAAAGGCGACATTGGAAACATTCTTTTAAAAAATGTTGCCATATCTCAATTATGTTTGTCAATGGTAGCATTCACTTACATTTTTGTTGCGATAGACACTTTTAGCAAAATTCAAATGACAAATGTTGCATGTTGATTCAATAGAATACCAAGTATATGGGCATCAAATATTCGTTAATTCGTAAAGACTATTGCATTAATAAGAAGTATTGAGAAACTCTCAAATACTTATTCATAAACAATCAAGTTACAATAAATTCTAATTCTAGAATTTAAAGGATTCTAACTTACCATTCTAAACAAAGACAGAAAAAAAAAAAACTAAATAAACAAATATTTTATAATCTAAACATGGGAATAAATAAATAAAATTCAACTTCTGTCTGAATAATAAAAAGTTTCAATTAACAGCTTAAAGATGGATTTTGGCTGTAAAATTAGTGGGATCAAGGGCTTCAACAAATAAGTACATTTAGTAACTCGTTTTGGCATAGAAAAAGTGACATTATTCATCCAATTTTGATATGATTTATTGGATCGCCATATTCAATTGCATCGCCATTCCCTTCCTGCCTATGAATACCTTGACCATTCAACACATAACACACAACACACTCAACATACTTGCTCTCAAGCACATACATCCATACTTCGAGAAAAAGAGAGAGATGAGAGGAAATTTTTGGTAGCTTCAAGAATCAAAATTTTCTTCTAAAAGCTTCATACACATTCAAAATTTTATAAATAAGATATCAAGTTCTACAGTTATTATGATTATGCATTTGAAAAAAATGCCTACATAAGAGATTGCGATGGAATATGCATTTTTGCTCAATT